GGGGGAAATTCACTTAACAACTGTCTCGTTTAACAACAGAAATTTGGGGTCAATTGTGGTCATACATCATATAGTTGTAAATTAAACTGCATGTAATTGTTAAATTTTAGAATACACATATATACCTTGATCATATCCCTCTATCTTCACAATTTAACTTATTCCTTTAATACCTTTTCAGATTTAAAATATTAGTATAGTACATATACTATAAACATTTAAAATAGTGCGTCAGGAGCTACCACTCTCATAATCAGGAAGGAATGGTGGAGTAGGAAGGGCGGGGCTTGGTTCATCAGCCCCGCCCCCATTTCTGTTTCTTTTGCAGGACGACGGCGCTGCTGCTCTCGGTGAGTCACGCGGCGAGCCTGCCACTTCCCCAGCCGCATGGACTGGATTGACCAATCGTTGCCCGCGGCGGAGGAGCACGTGAGCGTGCTGCGCGAGGCAGCCCCTGGCTTCGGAAGCGGGTCGGAAGGCTTCGTGCAGTGATTCACAACCCGAGCAATTTTAAGACATTTCCTGTACTTCAACTCCCAGAATTCTCCAGCCATGGTTGAATGGGGAATTCCACGCATCGTACGATTGTTCAGATTGAAAAGCGCCGATATGCAATTCATTTAGCGGGGCTGATTTTATCCTTAGCGTGACAGAACTGCACGTCGGGTCTCTTGCATCCGGATTAGTGATATTGAGATATATAGATCCCAGCGATTTTGTAATTGTGTAAATTAAAAATGATTTGTTCGAGCTTGATTGGTCGTTTCTAAAGAACTTAGAGCTGCACGTACACGGTGCTGCCGAGATTCCTGTTACGCAATTTGCGTAAATTAGTTTCATGTATGCACATAATGTACATAAATAAATTGTTACTTATTTTATAAATTGCTTCTGCGTTGTTCCTAAATTCCACTCGGTGAATATTACTGCTTGCTTTGAATTTTGAACAAAAAAATTTTTGAGGGGGCACCCGGATTTGAACCAGGGACCTCTTGATCTGCAGTCAAATGCTCTGCCACTGAGCTATACCCCCTTGGCTTATTTTTCGCTTGCTACCGTTTCCTTCAAAAGAGAGAAGAGAAACTACAGCACTGTTTTTCACAATAGGAAGATTTTAATTTAAACCCTGTTAATTAGTATTTGGAAATAATCCACCCATTAATATAGAGAGTTTGTTTTGGCGTTTGCATTTTTTGTCTGAAAAATTATTGCTTTCACTTCGGTCACTAATATATAGAACATTTTTTTTCTGCTTAGTGATAGGAAAAACTCATATATTTTAGTGTTTTAAGTATGTTTGATTTTGACTATTCAGGAAAGGCAACCATTAAAATTGTAATTTCCTGAGACTGAATCCGAGAACTTGTACTGGTTGCTGGATTGAAAAGCTCATTAAACATACTAAAATGAAGGCATAAGATTCCATATGGGATTTGGCATTATATTGTAAAAATAATCTGTTGGCTATAGTAATCTCTACCAGCATAACAAATGGAAATTATGGATGGAGATGATTCCATGTATGTAGTCCAACATATCAGATATATATTGATGGTCTATGCAGGCAATATCTGACACAACATACATGGAAAGTATGGACTTTGGCAGTCTTTTAACAACCAGTAATACACTTATTGCAATTTACATCTTCATTATAAGAGAATAATACACCTTGGAGATTTTCTAGTCCAACCCCCTGTTCAAGCAAAAGACCCTACACTATTTCAGACAAATGGATATCCAGCCTCTAGTGATGGAGCGCCCACAATTTCTGAAGGCAAACCAATGCATTTTCACAAGAAATTTCTCCTTAGTTCTAGGTTGCCTGTCTCCTTGATTAGTTTCCATCCATTGCTTCTTGTTCTGCCTTCAGGTGCTTTGAAGAATAGGTTGACCCCCTCTTCCTTGTGGCAGCATTGTTCTTCCTATGTTCTAGCTTCCAGCATACTAATCGCCTTGTTGTTCCTTTCTGCACTCTTTCCAGAGTCCCAACATATTTTTATGTTGTGGTGACCAGAAGTGAATGCAATATTCCAGTGTGGTTTTACCAAAGCCTTATACAGCAGCACTAATTCTTTACATGATCTTGATTCAATCCTTCTGTTAATGTACTGGCTTTTTTGACAGCTGCAGAATACTGCTAGCTCATATTAAGTGGCTGTCTACTAGGACTCCAAGATCCCTCTTGCAGTTACTTTTATTAAGCCAAGTTTCACCTAATCTGTACCTGTACATTTGGTTTTTCTTGCTTAAGTATAAAACCTTACTTTTCTCTACACTGAATTTTATTTTGTTAGTTAGGGCCCAGTATTAAAGTCTGTCAAGATTCATCTGGATCTTGAGCCTATTTTCTGGGATGTTGGCTATTCCTTCCTGCAGATTTGATGAGTTCCCCTTCTATTCCATCATCTAAATACACTGGTCAAGATCCTCCTCAGGTGCTTCTAAAAATCAATCAAAAATCATTCAAAAACATCAGCCTCAAATCCTCCTCAAATTTTCAAGTGTAGTCCTGATAATATTATAATTTGTACAGCTACTGTTGGATGGGGGAAGACAAAGAGGAAATAATATAAAAGATACTGAAAAGGTAAAAATTATTGTATAACTGCGTTTTCATAACATACTGAACTACAAATTACTCAATCACATTTAGCTTATTATGTTACACAAATTCATCCTTAGTTAATCGTTCAGTATATCAAGTCAACCCAAGAGTCTGAACCAATGCTATTTCTGTTTCAAGCAGCAGTTCAACATCGTGCCTAAATTGCTGTTCAAATTTTGATCAACACTTCAGTTAACCTGCCTTATTTTTCCCTTAAATATTCTTTCCTGTTCCTCATTTCACTTTCAAAATATTAAATTTTGTACAATAGCAATACTGTTGATCTTCAAGCTGTCATAGAGTGTTTCTTATATTTTTGCAAAATATTAGCTTAGGTACTCTTTTTGGCACTATAAATGCTAACCCGAATTAAACCCACATGTGTTTAGGAGAACTTTTATCAAGATTCGAATAATTAGGATTCAATATTTTAAAATGACCGACTGAGTTTGAATATTCTTTTTAAAATAAAATTAAGCTCGGTTACATGGGAATACATGTTCAGAATCGCCCTACGGGGGAGATGGACGACTAAAAGTATTTAAAGAGGGCGTTTCTTTGAATAAACATGTACAGATTTAAACTACAAAGTCAAACTTTTTTAAAAAAAAAAAAAACCCGGCTAAAGCCCTCTGAGTAAATTCACCTTTAACAGTATAATATTACTTGATCCATTAAAAAAAAAAAAAAAAGTAGGGCTCATTTTATATCCGTTTCCGGCATTCACATGAGAAGGCCGCCTCACGTGACATGGGACTTTGAAAACGTATTAGTTATCCCGGCAAGCCTTGCGCTTTCTTTCTCTTTTTTTCCCCCAGCCTCCTGAGCAAGATGTCTAAGCGAGGTAAGGCCTGTAAAGCCGCCAGATGGTCTGGAAGGGAATCCTCCTCCATCGCTCTAGTTTTGGAAGATATTAGGCTCGCTCTATCGGGCATTATTGATGGGCGAAGATTAGGTCTCTGACGAGATGAATATTTTCGACCACCCAGCTCAAAAATAATATTTTTTGGTTCGTGGGATTTGAGGAAACCATTGAGGAGGGCGGGAAGGTGAGAAGCAGTGGAGTTGTAACTTCAGCTGCTTTAATAGGATTTTACTATAATAATAATATAATAATATTTGCGACATAATCTTTTCCAGACGGCGTACTTCAGATTTTGGTCTATCATCGTCCCCTATTTTATTTCTATTGTAGATCCATATATTAATATTTCACAACTGGCAACTTTTAAGATATGTCGAGTTGCAGTCCATACGTTGAGAAACTCTGCCTTAGATCTTCGAGAGGACAAAATGAATTATTTATGCTTGGCCATTTGGGTGATGAAGAATATGCAACGCTCCCCCCACACACTTTTTTTTTTTCCAATCACAGTATGGAGATCGGAGAGGCTTCATAGATCAGTAGAGTTAATTTTTTAGCTATCAGTAATGGAGTTTTTCAGACTATTAGAACAGCAATTCCACAATATGGAAAACGGTGATTTCTTAAGGGAAAATTTACCTGGTTTTTTAAGACTCAAAAATAAAGTTGGTAGGTACTGGCATATTTTTATTGCTTTAATAAAACATTCTTCATCCTATGCTTTTTTAATAGGACGTGGTGGTTCGTCTGGTGCGAAATTTCGCATTTCACTTGGTCTCCCGGTTGGAGCTGTGATCAACTGTGCGGATAATACAGGTATGTCTTAATTGGGTTAATTTGAATAAATAATTCTGGGCAACAAATCTGGGAGTTTTCTTAGAGCATTTTTAAACTGATCTTTAGCCAAAAGAGCTCCCAAGAGTAGCATACAAGGAACAGGGTTCTTTCAATTCCTTGATTAAACAACATAATCAGTCCTGAAGTAGGTGGGAAAATGCTAGTTCTAATATTGGTCTCCTGAATGTTGGTTTGGTAAATATTTAAGCTTTGTGGACAATTGTAACATTCATGGTAGGAGATCATATTTAATGTTTCCTCTACTTTGGGATAATGGAAGGTATTTCTGGAATTGGATGGAGTTTCTGTTTATCCATCATGAAACACCCTAGGCGGTAAACAATGTATTACATAAATTAAAAAACATCCATTAGTTCAATTATTTCCTGCAAAATCTAGATCAATAAAAATATTGATCAGGCAGGAGTTTTGCCATTTTTAAATTGCCATATATAGATATATATAAATTGAAAGTAATGTACTTGCTTAAATTATTACCTCCCTTCTAATACATATTAAAGTTTTTCATTCCCTGAATTAACTTTTTGCAGTTCAGAATCTTAAGAGGAGAGAACTCTGACATTATCCCTGCCAAGTTCAGCTGAAAAAAACAATCCTAGTAAGTTCAGTTGTGAGCCATAGCAGTCATGCTAAAAAAACCAAATGATGCAGACTAGAAGCAGTGGGTTTTCCCTTCAAAAAGCACTTGCTGGGTCTGTTTTCCGATGGCCCAGGGAGTTGTCGCGTAAGGGTAAAGAAACAGCATTACTTTTGGGTGAGGTTACAGCTTGTGCTGATTTTCCTCAATCGGTGATGCAACAAAAAATAGGAGAAGTCTTTATAACTTTGATACAAAGTATTTGTTAACAGCAATAATTCCTTTATTTCACAGGAGCCAAGAATCTGTACATAATCTCAGTGAAAGGAATTAAGGGGCGTCTGAATAGATTGCCAGCTGCAGGTGTGGGGGACATGGTAATGGCTACTGTTAAGAAAGGCAAGCCAGAGCTGAGAAAGAAGGGTGAGTGATGGAATAAAAAAGATGTATTGATTTACAATCTTGTTATTACTTTGGGACTGTAAGAGAAAAGCAGTTGGAAGAAACTATGGTTATGATCTACTAGTCATTATTTATCTAACATTTTCAGCATTAAAAGTAATTAAAGGTAAGACAGTTGGATACAGTGATCCTTGTGATAAATATAGATATATTGAAATATTGATGCAATCTACATTAGTTGGGACTTAACTATAAAGTGTTTTTGCGTTAAATGATTTAACATTGGATGAAATCTAGTTTGGGTTTATTTTAAATTAATTTATAAATTGGATTGTGTTTCCATCTTCTGAATTCATATATTCTGGAAAAACATTTTTCCTTTAGGAAATTCAATTTAGACTAATATATCTAGTTTGGGTTATATTTTAGAAGAGTACATTAATTTAAGCCAGAAATACTGTAAGTGATGCATATGTATTCTACTTCCTCAAACGATAACTCTCGGGAGTTTTCAGAATATGGGGCTGACAGCTGTAGTCGTTTTAACAAAGGTACTAGATAACGAAAGACTATTCTGCTTTCCAATTTCCCCCCAAAAAGGTGAATGTTTTATAATAAAGTAAAATCATATACTTTAAAGTTCTGTCTATTAGAAATCTTATTTGAACACCAGAATCATAGCTAGAGCCCTAAGAGATGATCTCTCCAGAGCCCAGTATTTTTGAAGTGCTGTTAATTAAATGGTGTAAGCACATACTTAACTGTTGTGATACCAGTAAATCATAAAGAATTTAATACTACTCGGAGCATGTTTTCGTTCTAATTTTTCTGACATATATGGATTTAGGGTTTTACATTTTATATTCTGTGCTGCAGTGACCTACATTTTGTAAGATTGGTCTAATTGTTTTCAGTTGAAGCATGTCCTGTTTCATAACAACACTAAAGAAACTGTTGCTTGATTTCAAATTTAGATGTTGCATACTAAACTACTGATTTTGAACTTTTTCATAGTGCATCCAGCAGTTGTGATCCGTCAACGGAAATCATACAGGAGAAAAGATGGCGTATTCTTGTATTTTGAAGACAATGCAGGAGTGATAGTAAACAACAAAGGAGAAATGAAAGGTATTGCTGCTGAAAGGACCACAAAATTAAAAAGAACATCATATTTTGCTTCTTGCAAAAATATTCAGTCTGTATTAATAGCTTATTCCTGTGAGTTAGAGAATTGTAATTCACAGTGAAGCTAGTCCTCTGGAATAGAATAGAACAGAATAACAGAGTTGGAAGGGATCTTGGAGGTTTTCTAGTCCAACCCCCTGCCCAGGCAGGAAACCCTACACCACTTCAGACAAATGGTTATCCAACATCTTAAAAATTTCCAGTGTTGGAGCATTCACAACTTCTGCAGGCAAGTTGTTCCACTTATTTATTGTTCTAACTGTCAGGAAATTTCTCCTTAGTTCTCAATTGCTTCTCTCTTTGATTAGTTTCCACCCATTGCTTCTTGTTCGACCCTCAGGTACTTTGAAGAATAGTTTAACTCCCTCTTCTTTGTGGCAACCCCTGAGATATTGGAACACTGCTATCATGTCTCTTCTAGTCCTTCTCTTCATTAAACTAGACATACCCAGTTCCTGCAACCATTCTTCATATGTTTTAGCCTCCAGTCCCCTAATCATTTTGGTTGCTCTTCTCTGCACTCTTTCTAGAGTCTCAACATCTTTTTTACATTGTGGTGACCAAAACTGAATGCAATATTCCAAGTGTGGCCTTACTAAGGCATTATAAAGTGGTATTACACTTTACGTGATCTTGAGTCTATCCCTCTGTTTATGCAGCCCAGAACTGTGTTGGCTTTTTTGGCAGCTGCGGCACACTGCTGGCTCATATCTAAATGGTTGTCCACTAGGACTCCAAGATCCCTCACAGTTACTATTATTGAGCAATGGTCTTATTGCTGTAGAATGACTTATTAAAATGTCCTGGGCACTCATTAAAGTTTTACAAAACTAGCACAAACTAATACAGAGCAGAAGCAAGTAACAAAGAAAGGAAACAAGAAAAGCAAAAGTGTAGAAAGAATTAAAAAGAAAAAATAGAAGCTTACAATTTCTTTTGCAGCAAACATTAAGTACAACATTTCTTACTTTTTGATTGTAGTAAACTCTTCATTTTTGATCTTTTGATACTTTTCTAATCAAAACCACATGAATCTTCCTGTTTCATGCAAAAAAGTCAAGGTATTTCCATTTGACCATAAATTTGTTTTTATGATGGTGCTGGGCTGCTGCTGCTAAGTAATACTTCTGATTTGTTTTTTATTTTTCCAGGTTCTGCTATCACAGGCCCTGTAGCCAAGGAGTGTGCAGATCTATGGCCCAGAATTGCTTCCAATGCTGGCAGTATCGCATAAATATGTTTATTCTTTGTAAAAATCAAATAAAAGTGATTGGCTCAAAGTTTTGTGATATGAATATCTTCCATATTATAGGGAAGGAAAGAAACAGACATTCTGAATTAGCTTGGATATTATTAACAGAATATTTAATCAGAAAAACACACTGATGTGCTGTTTTAATAAATCTCGTGCAAATCCATTTTTGCTGTATATTAAGATCCCTTGGGTCAGTGGATAGTCTTAATTCCACCTTTTAAAAAGTTGTAAGGTTAGAAATAGGTGAAGGAGAACCATATTTATATAATCTTATTATTCAAAACACAGAAGAGGTATACTGTAACTATGACTCTACAAAAGGAGACACCAGAATTATTTGCTCTGGTTGTCCAGTGATATGCTAACTAACTCCTTTGGATGTCTTTTAATTGCCGTAAAATATAAAAAATATATTTTAAAGAATATAAATGTATATAGAATTCTATTAGGTAGTTTATATTATTTTACACGTATGTCAGTAACACTGCTTTGATTCACTAAAGCTGTAAACTCAGCTGTGGGTCCTTACGCCCCATCTGAATACAGTACATTTTTGTACTAGGAATATCCCAAGTTACGCAGGATAGTAAATGACATGCTGGCTGGGCTGTCTTTTGCCCTGCCTTTCCCACTGAGTAAAGTTGAGCAGACTTGTCATTTGAGCAAATTAAATGAAAGAAAGCTTTAACAAAGATACACCCATGTGACCTTTAAAAAAAAACAAACAACTAACCAGCATAGGACAATATAACCATAAATTGTATTGTAATACACTCCTGTTCATAACACGATTATCGCACTGCAGTGCATAATCTTTGGAGTGTGTTAAAAGACAGAATACCTAATACCTAATTTGAATTGCAGTCAAAGCATCAGTTAAATATATAAAGTTGGCAATAGTACAGAATGGTATGTACTTTTTTCTATACCATTTACACTATTTAATTCAAAAGGGGGGATTTAAAATCTGATAGCGATTTCATTGACATGAATGAAATCCAAACTGGTTATTCATTTCTTTTAGGCTACAATACTACTTTGAATATTCCATAAATATATATAAAAAGATTGTGTTTTGCACTACATTTCATGTATCAGGAATTGTGAGCTGCACAGCACTAAAGGAAATACTCAAAAGAGCAGAAGGGCAATTTGTATGTTGTCTGAAAAAAAAATTAAACTAGGTATGTTACTTAAATTTAAATGTAGATTAGCATTTTTAAAAAGTTTTCTGTTGTGCAGGAACTATGGTAGATTAATTAATACAAATGTAAAACTAAGGTAATTGAGTGAACTATACTAAAGTAAACTGCACATATGAAAAAGGTATGCCAGCTTCAGGTTGTTAGGGAACAATTGTCTCTTGATAACATCACAGAGACTCTAGTAGGGTAATAAGGAGTTGCTAGGAGAGAGGTAGCGTATATATACACTGTGGTATGTGAGAATAGTTTAGTGTGACAGCTTTTTCTCTTGTGCTAATCATGACTTGTATTACACGGAGATGTCTACAAAAGCAAAAGGAATTCATCCTTGATGGTGTGGCAGTGGACACCATTGGTAGCGGCTATGCTCACATCCTGCCCAAGCTGTGGTCTGCATTGCCACCGTATAATGCTCAATTAGATATCCATGCTGCTAGCTATTTCTCATCTCCAGTGGTCAAATCACTACTAAAAAGGACGGAGCAGGTAATGGCATTTGAAACTTGAAATGGAAATCAATGGAGTAGATGAGCAGCAGGACTAAGAGAAATAACTTAATGCAATTTAATATGCTAGACTACAGTCCAGGTTCCCATGACTTGTAGACAACGTGATATTTTAAAACTTGCTGAAATCAATTTTTTGATACATTCCTGTGGGAAATGGGTCAAATAAGGATACATAAAATATTTGAATAACAATATATTTAAAGGGAATGGGGCATTAGGATATGGGCTTGTCGAACTGTTGGCAGTTTGAGACCCAAGCACTATGTGACAAAGTGAGCTCCTATTCTTGCCCCAGCTCCTGCCAACCTAACAGTTTGAAAGCATGCAAACGCAAGTAGATAAATACCACTTTGATGGGAAGGTAACAGCATTCCATGCACCTCGGTATATAGTCATGCCGGTTATATGACCACGGATGTTTCTTTCGATAACAGCTCCCTCGGCTAGGAAATGGAGATAAGCACCAACCCTAGAGTTAGGACTGGACAGAGGAAAGCTTTACCTTTACCTTCAATATATTTAAAGTATCCAACACAGAGTACTTAAAAACCAAAACAAAACCTCTGAAAATACAGCTCCATCAGCTTTTATATTATTGCCTTGGCTATCAACATAAGAAATATAGCTCTGGCTGCAAAATGCTGGCCTGTTACTCTGATAATCCACAGAGTAACATTCCTTTCCATTCCATTCATATAATAAATTTACTTAGGTTTCTTAAATAACTGAATACCATCCACTTTACATCTATTCTAGAAGGTATAAAGACAACCTGTATTAAATATGTGGAATGCCCAATTAAAAACTGTTTATGCTTCCAAATTATCATCAGATGCTGGTTCCTCCTAAATTTTAGTACAGAATATTCCTCTTTTATGTGCTCTTGCACAGAGCTGCTTGGTTTTTTTTAGAAGAGAAATGGGAAATTGTGGGCAACAATGTTCTGTTCCTTGGACAGAGATTGGCCCAGACTAGTCATTGGTTCATTACACACACTTTAGAAAGCTATTACAGGTAAGTGCAAACTATCATGTTTCCAATATTTAGATTTTCTTTTCTTGGAATGTTTGGTCTTCAGGCTTGATGTCACAACTCTCTTTATGATCTCACTGTAGACATTACTCATTGCCATCACATTTAAGAAAAAAAGAAAATATTCCATAATGATAAAAATTAAAACCAGTCTTCTTTCTCTCATATTCTGAATACGTACCATCCCTACATATTCATTTGTTTTTAAACTGAATTAATTGGGCTTCGTTTTTCTTTTGTTTGACAGACTCGTGGTGGGACCTCTAGGGATGGGTGGATAGTGGACTATTTCCATATCTATGGCCCAGGCCAGAGGTATTTGAACAGGAGAAACTGGGCAGGAGCAGGTGAATGAAGTGTACCCATCTCTTTCTCTTATCTTTCATTTCACTAGTAATTGTTTATCTTCCAAACTTTTAAAGTAATTCAGGAAATATGATGTTTTATTGAAACTACATTTCATGACTCAAATGAAAGCTATTGCTTAGATGTTTTAATAAATAAATAAATATATTAAATGAAACTCCATGTTTAAAATAAGCAGTGGGCATACCAAACAGAACAGTAATAGGAAGACAGTCCATATAGTATTAGGAGCAGAAGACTCTTGTGGCTTAAGGAAGGTACAATATCATAACTCCTTAAAATGAAAAACAAATTTGAACAATTTCCTCCCTTGCAAATGAAATTTAATGTTAATCTGTACTTCATAGGAATTCTTTTATGCTGTGGAACCATAGTTGCCTGCTAAAGGAACTAAAGGAACTCAGCAAGAAAAGGAACAAAATGGAGGAAGTTTTGATAGTGTGCCCCCTTTGGTGACAAAAACCTATCCAGCTTTTCCTGGACTAGCCATTTTCACAAACAAAGTAGGGAACAAATGCCACAGCAAATTTTGAGAGTGATGCCGCTTTATCTATTTCTTACAAAAAAAAAAAAAAAAACCCAAAAAACCAAGCAAACCCTGGGCAGTTTGCGTAGGCATCTCCACAAAATCAGTGAGCCTTCCCAAGGTCCTCTGGTTTACAGCATTATCCCCGGGGGAAACTTCAATTCTAACTGTATTAAACCAATGTCCCACTTTGCCACCTTTTCACTCATGTCACTGAGAGCTGTAGAGTAGGATTTTTAAAAGATGAGACTTTGAGTTTCTGACTAAATTTTTTTGAAAATGAATGCCACATTAATTGCTCTGGACTCTGTAAAACTTCTCAATATTTTTCTAGGAACAAGGAAAACAACAAGATACATAATGTTCTTAAAATTAATAATGTGTGATCACAAAATAATACACATGTATCTGTTTGTTATTGTATTAATATATTAATGACTCTGCCCAGAACTGGACAGAGTAAATTGAAAGCTGTTGTTCCACACATTCTTTCTGAGGATTATTGATCGTTATTTAGAAATAAGTTTTATACATCAGTTTTAAGATATCATTATACAATTTTTACCATATTTGATTCTCTAAACCAGTGGTCCCCAACTTTTCTGGCTTCATGGACTGGCAGCGGCAGCAGCAGGGAAGGGAGGATGGCTTCACACATGCAAACCATGTGTGGTTTGTCACGCATGCACAATGAAGCTTTGCACACGCTCGCACACTGCTTGCAAGGCCTGGTTCCCAACAATACTGATCCACAGACCTGGAGTTGAGGACCCCTGCTGTAAACAATGAGTGATTAAAAATGGTTGAAACTAATAACGTTCCTGGTGGCAAGTAAAGTAAATTACATGTACTATGCTTTAGGCTCAAAACTAAGAATAACACAGCAATTGTTATTGTTTCAAGCTGAGTTTTTTGTTTCACACCTATATACAAAAGGTGTGCCAGACTGAAGACTATTTGAATCCACAATATACTCTGTGAACCATTACTCTCTTCCTCACTCTCGTCATCTCACATATAATAGCTAGGCTGAGTTGCTTCTTATTCCTTTAGCATACACTCCCACCCTCCTGCGAATCCACTTTCTTGCTACATTCCATCCCAGTTTTCCTATCATAACTCATATGGGCTCTTAAATATAATTCAAGGGTAACTTTAAACTTATTAGCTCACCACTTTAGTACTCCTCCACTTATTTGTTTTACACACAGGGAGCCAGATTCATAGAGCATGAAATTAAAATGTGAATTGAAGAGTAGGCTGGTAACATACTTATTGTTTATGTGGATCAAGATGACATTTGTTTTAATATGAGAACTGCTGTGGCTGGTAAGACACAGAGCAATGTTCTTTGTTTTTGGGTTGGATGGAGAAGACACTGCTTAATCATAATCATCTCTGGAGCTTCTCCCATTAAAGGCCACAGAAATGAAATTTAACTTGTGATTTTCAAAGTACTTTGGAGGGATTAGAGTGGACATGGCAGGGTGGGGGAGTAGATATTTAGGGTACAATAATCCATTGCTGATAGGGCAGTTAGATTGTACAAAGTAAAAGAAAAACAAGGCAGGTATTGAAGAAAAAGCATCAAGAGATAAATACTGTTAAGAAAAATGGTGTGTTTTTGTATACCGGTTCTTCAACATATTTTTGATGGATGATCTTTAATATTTATTTTTATACAGGTCACTCTCCAGAGCAAGTGTCTGGTCACCATCTATACTTGATGGGTACAAAGCCAGCAACAGGTTGGAATGGCCGATATGGCTATCGCCGCAACACTCCAGATCTTCGCACACGCTCTTCTTGCTTTGGTGAAGTAACATGGCTCCCCATCCACTGAAGAACATCAGATTATATCAATCTGTCTCTTCTTCTAATTTAAATGCTCTTCGTATATTTTGTTTGTTCTTGATTTTTCCAAAATAATAAAATACTTTTAATTTCTTATTTAACAGTTTGTTGCTTGTGGGGAAGGGAAATTCTGGCAGAAGATTACATTAGGACAGCATTTTCCTAATTGGGTATGGTAGATGTGATGCTTTGGGGGAGGATGAAAGTTGTACTGTAGTCCAAGTTGGGGAAGGGAAAAAGTGATAACCCAACATTCTGCTTGTGACAAAAGTTGCTTAATCGTATATTTTGTGCTTTGCGACTTTTGTTTTTGGGGCAGAAAATGTGTTCAGATTAACTATGTTATAGCATAGTTTTGGCTTTCAATGAGAATTGAATAGCAAATCTGAATCTTTTTAATTAACTATTGAACTGTTTCTCATTCCTATAATTTCTATTCCTTGCATATGAACTCTGATAGAAAAATATCTATGTACTAGAGTGACTAGTGCTGGAAGAAAAATCCAGTCTGGTTCCAAGCCTGGAGAAAGACGCTGGAAATAAAATGGAGGCTGGCTGTAGGAGAAAGTGTTGTTTATTTGGATTCCAGAAATTTCAGTGACAGCAGCATGTTTCTGGGGTGGCTCACTAAATGGAATTGAGATAGGTGGGCTTTTATAAATTCTTTGGGGCTTTGTGATTGAGATCCTGTTGCTGTGTAAGAATGTGTCCTTTAATATTTTAATGGCTTCTGCCAGATTCCCATGGGGTCACATAGGGGTCATGGCTGGCTCTACAGGCAAAAGGGGAAATGCAAATCCTAGGTGTTTGTCTGAGTTAATCTTGTCAGTTTGCCTAATTGTATTCCTTATTTGGAGTCTCTTTGCTTATGGATAGATTAGCCCAGTCTTTCTAAATGGATACAAAATCTACATTCCAAAACACCAGCCTCTTCAAGCTTCTGTTTGAGGCTGTATGGCAGGGAGACGGGGGCTGCTTTCTGCCTTTGTTAAGATCTTTTCTGTTTCTCCTTTGGGGGAAATATTCTATTCTGCCTCTTTTTAATATTAAGAATAAAGAATATTTTAATCTGGGGGAGGGCTTCCTACACCAGCAATAGTGATTCAGAAATAATACTATAGAGGCAGGGGCAGATATATGACACCTATTAGTACAATCTCAGGTACATTTTTTTGGCATTAAGATCTGCTTAATATATACAAAAATAATATGCATCAAGCATGCACACTGGAAATGAATCATACAGCATACATTTGTAATCATGGCCATTTAAACTTCATGGAACACAAGTTAATGTTAAAATTGCAGCCGTGAAACCACAATTGCAGATACACAGAATCATTTCCAAAATTATAAACAGGAATCTACTAGCCATATCCTTAGTGGTATTAGCAACATCACAAACACTACAGCAGCCATCGACAGACAAGCAATTCAGAGTAGCTATACTCACATGGCATACTAAACTCTAAATCTAAGCACAGTAGTGAACAACATTTTAGCCTCTTGCATTGTTGGACACAGTTCAGATGGTTAGTTTATGCTTCCATCCCCTACATAAAGAAATGTAGGGGAAATCAGCCCAGTGCTATTATAGTTAAGCAAGCATGTAGATATAAAGGACAAACAAATGGGTCATGTACAAAGCAAATAAGAAAGGAGAGATTAACTAAATCAATACTGTACTTCGGTAACTTGTTATTTCTCACTTTATAGATGCCTAGTGTGAATACTTTAGTTCAGTATTTCTCAACCTCAGCAGTTTTCTGGTATATGGACTTCAATTTCCAGAATTGATATTTCCAGAATATCTGAGGCTGAAAAACCCTGCTTTAGTCAATCTATATATACCACGAGTCTGCCTGTATTGCATATGTATTAAGGTTAATGAAAAATTCTGCTCTCTGAATTTACTCTGAGAAAGATATCCATTTTTTGCTCTTAAACTTTTAATAAACAGAGGTTTCTTTTTATTTGTTGGTTTTCTTTAACTGGGTAAATTAATATATTTTTCTATAACAATGTGAACTTAGAAAATATAATTGAATAAATCTTGGATTAAGTTAGCCATGAGTAAACATGTCATAAGCCCACTTCTGCCAATGAAGTGACAGCCTTCTTTAGCCACAATATTGTGGACATCATGTCTCCCACTGCCACATGTCTAGTCTTATTTGCCATCAAGATCATAATGGTAGGAATGACAAACATTGTACTCTAAACACACATTGTTATTGTGACAAAACTATAAAGTTTCCATTAGCCATGACAGCAAAAAATAGTCTTCAAAGTCAAAGGAAACATACCATGTAAAAAAGAGGGAATACTATTAACTGTTAGTCCTTTTCAACGGGTCTCTGCAAGCTAAATTGAAAGAATAGTAGTGAGTTCCAGAATAACTTTTCTGTCTTGATGCTGCCATTTGTGGTGGAATTAAAATGAATGGCCAAAACCAATAATCAAGGCTCCCTGCAGTGCTTATTATTCAGCATATACTGGAGGGCTTGTTTTCTCCCTAAAATTATGAGACACCCCTTATGAGATAGACACACTGATATTTATATATTTCAAAAAAAAAGGAGAAAATGATGCAGACATACATATGCATAAATTTGTATATACATTATGTAAGCATACATATTGATAGTTAACAAATCTCAGATTATTTCCTACCCTTCAATAGAAAAACATGTCAATAAATTGCCAGATTTGTTAGTTGTGAAGTCGTGTCCGACCCATCACGACCCCAAGGACAATGTTCCTCCAGGCCTACCTGACCTCTACCATCCCCTGGAGTCCATTTAAGCTCATGCCGACTGCTTCAGTGACTCCATCCAGCCACCTGATTCTCTGTTGTCCCCTTCTTCTTTTGCCCTCAATTTTTCCCAGCATTAGATTCTTCTCCAGTGAGTCCTTCCTTCTCATTAGGTGGCCAAAATACTTGAGTTTCATCTTCAGGATCTGGCCTTCTAAAGAGCAGTCAGGGTTCGTCTCCTCTAGGACTGATCGGTTTGATCACCTTGCAGTCCAAGGGACTTGCAGGAGTCTTCTCCAGCACCATAGTTCAAAGGCCTCAATTCTTTGGCGCCATTAGAGTCAAGTATCATCTGCATATCTGAGGTTGTTGATATTTCTTCTGGCAATCTTAATTCCAACTTTTGATTCATCTAGCCCCACCTTTCTCATGATGTGCTCTGCATAGAAGTTAAATAGGCAAGGCAGCAATATATAGCCTTGCCAAACTCCTTTCTCAATTTTGAACCAATGAAATGAGTGCAGTGGTGTGGTAGTTCGAGCATTCTTTGACATTGCCCTTCTTTGGAATTGGAATGTGGTGTCCGTGTCCAATTCTCACTATTGCTTCTTGACCCGCATATAGGTTTCTCAAGAGACAAATAAGATGGTCTGGTACTCCTATCTCTTTAAGAACTTGCCACAATTTGTTGTGCTCCACACAATCAAAGGCTTTAGCATAGTCAAGCAGAAGTAGATATTTTTCTGGAACTCCCTAGCTTTCTCCATGATCCAGCATATATTGCCAATTTGATCTCTAGTTCTTCTGCCTCTTCAAAATCCTGCCTGTACTTCTGGTAGTTCTAGATCCACATACTGCTGGAACCTAGCTTGTAAGATTTTAAGCATAACCTTACTAGCATGTGAAATGAGTGCAATGGTGCGATAGTTTGAACATTTTTGGCATTGCCTTTCTTTGGAATTGGAATGTAAACTGACCTTTTCCAATCCTGTGGCCACTGTTGAGTTTTCCAAATTTGCTGGCAAATTGAGTGTAGCACTTTTACTGCATCATCTTTTAAGATTTTGAATAGTTCAGCTGGAATACTGTCTCCTCCACTAGCTTTGTTATTGCTCAGATTTCCTAAGGCCCATTTGACTTCACATTCTAGGATGTCTGGCTCGAAGTTAGTGACCACCCCATCATGGTTATCAGGGATATTAAGCTCGTTCTTATATAGTTCTTCTGTGTAATTTTGCCACCTCTTCTTAATCTTTTTTTTTTTTAATTTGATTTATATGCCGCCCTTCTCTGGAGACTCAGGGCGGCTTACATCAATAGCCTTCATACTTTTGTATATTTATACAAAGTCAATTTATTGCCCCCATAAACTCAATTTACCTACCTTAGAAAGGATGGAAGGCTGAGTTAACCTTGAGCCTGGTGAGATTCGAACTTACAGTAATTGCAGACAGCTGGTGTTAATCACAATGCTATCAGTCTGCTGAGCCACCAGGCCCCTTTCTTCTGCCTCTGTTAGGTCCCTGCCATTTTGGTCCTTTATCATGCCCATCTTTGCATAAAATGTTCCCTTCATATCTCAATTTTCTTCAAGAGATCTCTGGTCCTCCCTATTCTATTGCTTTCTTCTATTTCTTTGCACTGTTCATTGAAGAAGATATTCTTATCTCTTCTAGCTATTCTCCGGAATTCTGCATTCAACTGAGTGTATCTTTCTCTTTCTCCCTTGCCTTTCACTTCCCTTCTTTCCTGAGTCATTTGCAAAGCTTCCTTAGACAGCCATTTTGCTTTCTTGCCTTTCTTTTTCTTTGGGATGGTTTTAGTTGCTACCTCTTGTTGCAAACCTCCGTCCATAGTTCTTCAGGCATTCTGTCTATCAGATCTAATTCCTTAAATTTACTTGTCACCTCTACTGTATATTCATCAGGGATATGATTTAGTTCATACCTGAGTGGCCTAGTGCTTTTCCCTACTTTCTTCTTTTTAAGTCCAAATTTTGCAAGGAAAAGCTCATGATCGGAGCCACAGTCAGCTCCTGGTCTTGTTTTTACTGACTGTATAGAGCTTCTCTATCTTTGGCTGCAGAGCACATAGTCAATCTGATTTCTGTGTTGACTGTCTGGTGATGTCCATGTGTAAGTCGTCTTTTGGGTTGTTGGAAAAGTGTGTGTGCTATGACCATCGTATTATCTTGACAGAATTCTATTAGCCTGCACCCTATTTCATTTTGTACTCCAAGGCCAAACTTGCCTGTTATTCTGGTTATATTTTGGCTTCCTACGTTAGCCTTCCAATCCCCCATAATGAAAGGACATTTTTTGGTGTTAATTCTATAAGGTGCTGTAGGGCTTCATAGAACCAGTCAATTTCATCCTCTTTAGCACCAGTGGTTGGGGCATAGACTTGGATTACTGTGGTATTTAATGATTTGCCTTGGATCCGAACTGAGATCATTCTATCATTTTGGAGATTGTATCCCAGTATTGCTTTTCCTACTGTTTTATTGACTATGAAGGCTACTCCATTTCTTCTGAGGGATTCTTGCCCGCCGTAATATATCTGATGGTCATCTGAATTAAACACCCATTCCTGTCCATTTTAGTTCACTGATTCCTAAGATGTCGATGTTCAGTCTTTTCATCTCTTGTTTGACCACATCCAGCTTGCCTTGATTCATGGATCTTACATTCCAGGTTCCTATGGAGAAAAAATATTTATAGCATCGGACTTTCCTTTCACCACCATATGCATCCACAACCGACCGTCCTTTCAGCTTTGGCCCAGTCGCTCTTTCTGGCATTACTAGTACTAGCCCTCTGCTCTTCCCCAGTAGTATATTAGACACCTTCCGACCTGAGGGGCTCATCTTCCAGCATCATATCTTTTTTCCTTTTGGTACTGTCCATGGGGTTTTCATGGCAAAGATACTGGAGTGGGTTGCCATTTCCTTCTCCAGTGGATCACGTTTTGTCAGAACTCTCTGCTATGACCTGTCCGTCTTGGGTGTCTCTGCATGGCATAGCTCATAGCTTCACTGAGCTACGCAGGCCCTTTTCCATGACAAGACAGTAATCCATGAAGGGGGTGAACCAGATACTTCAAGGCTTAGTCTACAAATAATCCTTGATTTATGACCATAAATGAGCTCCCAAATTTTTGTTGTTAAGTGAGACATTTGTTAAGTGAATTTTGCCCCATTTTATAATCTTTCTTGCCTCATTTGTTAAGTGAATGATTGCAGTTAATAAATTAGTAACCCGATTGTTAAGTGATTGACTTCCCCATAGACTTTGCTTGTCAGAAGGCCGCAAAAAGGGATTACATGACTTTGGGACACAGCAATAGTCATAAATATGAACCAGCTGCCAACCATCTGAATTTTGATCACCTTGATTATGGGAATGCTGCAAAGGTCATAACTGTAAAAAATAGTCATAAATCACTGTGGGAAGCCCCCCCCCCCGCCCGAAGAATGAAATATTTTGGGGGATATTAAAAAGGCAGGATAGAATATTTCCCCTAAAGGAGAAATGGAAAAAAAAACTTTAAGGGAGGCAGAAACCAGCCCGTTTCCCTGCCCCAAGCAGAAATTGAGGAGGCCAGGTTTTAGAAATGCAGATTTGGCAATCCATTAAAAAAAACTGGGTCAAGGCAGAAACTCAGATAAGTAACAAACAAAAGATTGACAAAATTACCTGGGACAAACACCTAGGATTTGCATTTCCCCTTTTGTCCAGAGCCAGCCAAGACCCTTGCTTGCCTCCATAGGAATCCAGAAAGTATAAAACCCACCCACCCACCCTAAATTCCATTTTGTCAGTTTCTCAGAATCATATATGGTTGGTGATTCTCCTTCAGCAATAAAGGGAACCTTTCTTTCCAATCAGCCTCCAGCCTATATTTTATTTCTAGCATCTTTCTCCCAGCTTGGAACTGGACCTAGAATTTTTCTTCCAACATCACTTTTTTCAGTCACATGTATTGAACTGTCAATAAATGAACTACCTGTAGTTGATTAATCCTTCCATGTATCCATTTTGCTATCATGTGACAATTTATTTTATTCACAACCCTGGTTGTTGAATTCTGGCTAGGTTGATAGGTAGTTCAAAGTAGTTTCTGGATGGACTGAAGTATCACAGCGATTGAACTGACTTAAAGATGGATCAAAGGCAAGAGATTTCCTCCCACGTGCTTACAAATTGTATAAAAATGAGATGCATACAATCTTCCTTAAGCCTGCCTCCTTCCAAATATTATATTACTATTCACATCATCGCGTGAGTCTGATCGTTGAGCCTGGGATGATGCGTTGCAATCTGACATATCAGGATCGTTTATTATAATGAATATTATCAATTTTCCCCATAAAGGGAGAAAAAAAACCCCCCTGCAGATTCGATAGAGGAAGCTTTATACGGCATCTAACCATTTTCAAATCCTTCGCTTCCGCTTTGGGAGGAGCGACGTTTGAGTTAGGTCTAAGATACAGCGTCATCACTCTGCGCCGGACTAATCTCAGCAGCCGAAGGAGAGGAGCTGCGTCGCGGCTGCAGCAGCTGCAAAGGAGACCGAGCTGTCGCCATGGGGGGAGGCGACTTGGTGAGGAAAATGGAGGGGATGGAGAGAAGCCGCGTTAGAGGGCGGCGGGTGGGGGTGGGGTGGGAAGGGAATCGAGAATTGGGACCAGTCTGAATTGCCTTGAATTTGAATTAATCGAAACTGGAAGCCGATTTCTTCTCTCCATCCGGAATTCACTTACTATGTACATATCTGGATGAAAATATAGGGATATTTCGTATAATGTAATTATATACAATTATATACAACCATACATAATTTTATAATTATGTAATTGAAATGTAAGGACGTATTTAAGGGTGGAGAGCTAGGGTGGGGGAAAGGCTCAATTGGAATTCAGAGTTATGCAAAGCAGTTCAGAAGAAATGGGGTAGGGACAGCAGCATCCCTTCTTCAATTTAATCACTTGCTAGAGGTAAAGAGCATCTTTATGGCAAGCTTGAGTGGTTTATCACTAAGTCATAATCTAGTTTGTTTTGTTTATCGAAGTGTGATATCTTAGCTACTGTTTCACGTATCACCAATTCATACATAATCTGTTTACTTTTGCTTTAGCAATTTATGATACCTTAGCCATTGTTTACAAGCCATGATTTATGGTTTAATGTATGTGGTGAGCCCAGTTAGTATTCAAATGGTATATTCAACCATTTATACGGTAAGAAAAGCATAACATTCTATGATGTGTGAATCTAGTTGGACCTTCAACATGCTCTTAATGTACAAATTAACAGATGATGGAAACCTCATTTGGAGTGGAGGAAACAAATTGAATATAGCCCCACAGTCCAAAACTGTGCTATTCTAAATCAATGATATGAAATTGACTGTTGAAGCAAGATGTATGTGTTGTGGAGTTAGCTGCCATTCTGTTATAGAACAATTACTGTAAAGTATAAATTGAGGGAACTATTTGAATAACAATATGAATGTGGAGCAAACACTTCTATGTACTTAGTTTTAGTTCACTGAAGTTTGCATTCACATATTTTTCTGGTTGATATTTGGTACAGCTTTTGTAGAGGAAATTTTCAGATTAAATCAAGGTAAATTTAAATGCTTAATCTTGTCTATAGAATCTTAAAAAAAGCTGGCATCCACAAACCCTCCGTAATGTGGAAAAAGTTTGGAAAGCGGAACAAAAACATGAAGCTGAACGGAAGAAAATTGAAGAGCTACAACGGGAATTGCATGAAGAGCGAGCACGAGAAGAAATGCAGCGTTATGCAGAAGATGTAGGCGCTGTCAAGTATGTTAAATTGGAATTACTGGTTTGTAAACATAGAATTGTAGCACAGGAAAGAACTATTTAGGCTATCAATTCTCTGCACTAATTCATATTAAAACATCTCTGACAGATTGTTTAGTCTCTATTTAAAGAATTGGAGCAAAGAGAATACATGACATCTTTGGATAATTGATTCCATTATTGAGCTATTTATTACAATATTAATTTATTTTGAATGTTCAGTCAGAATCTACTTTGGTCAACAGCTTTGTTGAAATAAAAAAAAAATACTATGTTTCCACATTCCCATAATGCTTAAAGCGATTCAATTCCAAAATGATATAATATTCAATTAACTTCTGCTAATTGTTTTCAAGCACTTACAAGTTATTGTTACCTGCTTTAGAATCACCTTTTAGCTTGTTAAAGATTTTAAAACCATTCCCTGTCTTCTAGTTATTTAGCACTTCCCCAGTTCTCTAGGATTTCTTAGTGAAACTATAATTGAAGACTTAGCCAGACCATCCTAAAATTCAGTTCATTTAGATCTGAACTGATTAAAATTTAACAGGATTTGTTCCTGCAGGGTCAATTCTGCCTCTCACAATTGCCTGATGGAACATTTATCTTTTCATTACAGATAACTGAGTGCAAAATAGCTTTGCATTTTCATTGTTACCTCTTAATATTTTTCATTGTCATTGAGCAGCCATTATATCAATTCTGTCTTCCTTAAGGAAACCCATTTTTAGCAGCTTTCACTTATCTCAGTGATTCTGAGATTTAGTACCATTTCTATACTTATGAGCTAGCTATCTGTATCCTTATTTGAAGATTTGGCTCTCTTTCTATTTACTTTGTGTTCTCCTTTTTGGATCTTCATTAAGCTTTTTTTGCAACTATATTGTTTTCATAACTTGTTACAGATAAAAAAATAAAGATATAAAGCATATCTTAGCTAACATAGTACCAAAAAAAATACAAGGCAAGTAGTATTGCCACCATCTTCAACTGTCTCTAAGTGATCTATATGTATACATATATATGATCTGTGCATAATACCCTGGTTTGCAAGTGACTTTAGCATAACATCTTCTAGATTGAAACTCTAGAATGTAAAGTAATTAAAGGTGATACTGTACTGCATATGTGAAATGCATTTCCCTTGTCACTGCCATCATTCGTTATCCAAATTATATTTTAAGACAGAAATTTGAAAGGATAGAGACTGAAATTTCAGTTTATCTCAGTTTGGAGATTTTAACACTGACCTTATCATCCAATTATAGTACTTAAAATTTGATAGCATTTGACTTCTTAGCAGCCAAATTGAAGAACTTCTCTTATTCAAGAATTAAAAAGTGGATAGTTACAGAAACAAAATTCTCATTTGGAAATCTAATGCTTCTTGATAAAGATTTTTTTAAATTCAATTCAGAAAAATGTATTTTAATTAATGTTAAATTTCCTTTGATAAAACTATGGAGATCATTGGAAAAATAAAATGTACCCCTTCCTCTAACAATTGTATTTCACTTCTGTCACCCCTGGGGAAATTATGATCTTGATAATTATATCACCAATATGTGTTCAGGAGCCTTTTGTTTTCTCCCATCCAGGAATTGAATTTTTATTTCTTGCATTTAGCATTCCCCCAACTCATGCCAAGTTTTAGACTTATCCATATGTGTAATGTGTTCTCATCCTCTTTGTAACCTCAGCCCCCAAGAAATGTTAAATATTCTGCTCTAAGACTGCTTTACCTATTATAGTCCTTCTTTTTTAAAAAATTTGCATCATCTTTTCTTCTGACTCTGAAAATTTTTTTTATATATATTTTATATATTTTCTTCCAAATAAATTAGAAAAAAAGATGAAAAGTTGGAATGGATGTATCAAGGACCAGGTGGCATGGTGAACAGAGATGAATATCTTATGGGGCGTCCAGTTGACAAGTATGTCTTCGAGACAACAGAGGACAAGGAGGCAGGCTGTTCTTCTGAGACTGGCCTTCTGCCAGGCTCTATCTTTGCCTCCACAGGTGCCAATTCTGCCTTGGATATGGCTAGCAAGATTCGGGAAGACCCTCTTTTTATGATAAGGTAATTAGGATTGTTTTCAGTGTGAAAAGGGGGCAGAAAGTATATAAATAAAATAAATAATAAATGAATGGCTGATGAGTAAGAGAGGTGATGACCTGGATGATTTATAAAATGAAAGCATTGAAGTATCCCTGATACTAACATTTAAAAAACCCCAATTATTCCCATTAATGTCTACATTGCTTCTCTTTGGCATTTTTGTGCTAAATTTGATCAGAGATGCTAATCCTATAGATTTGAGTATTGGGAATTTATGACTCTTCAGATGCTGTAACTATATCTATTAGGAAACCTGTGTGGTCACTTGTCTTATATAAAATAATCTAACTCCAATTATCATCAGTAAAAGCAAAATAAATAAAGCCAACCAAGTTTTGATAAAAGATAGAATCCAATACCAATAACTGTAGAAGATAGAATCCAATACCTGTGGAAGACCATAGGTGTCAACCTCTAATCACAAATTTAATTATAGTATTGATGTAGAATATGAGGATTTCACATGAACATTACTTAATAAATTAATATTTTGTCTGTATAGGAAGAGGGAGGAAGAGAAGAAACGTGATGTTCTGAACAATCCTGTAAAAATGAAGAAGATCAAAGAACTGGTATGCTAATGCTGAATGCTCTGTGAATGTAAACGTCCACATGGTTTTGAATTCCATGATGACACTTAATGTATACTGAGCAAAATTCAGTAGGGCTTTTTTCCAGTTTGATGTAATTGTTAAGGTGTTGGCATAGAAATCAGAAGACTAAGTTCTAGTTCTGCCTTGGGCATAGAAAATTGGTTGCCTGACTTTGGGCCAGTTATTCTCTTTCAATGCAATTCATCTCACAAGGTTCTTGTTATAGAGAAAATAGGAGAAGGCAGGAGTATTAAGTATGTTTGCCATCTGAGTGGTATATAAAAAAGGTAGATATAAGTATTTTAAAAAACTTAAGATAGATATAACTTATCAATATCAAATTATTATGGAAAAAATTGGGAGTTTAGAGTATCTTTTTGAGCTGAAGAGAAAGTAATTCCAAGGCTATATAGACAGTGTGAAGTTTAATTTAGTCTCTGCTGACCTTGGTTTAGAGAGAAAGAGAATAATGTGCAGTAATAATGACTCAACAAAATATTAAGCAGTTGCCCAATCAAATCAAAAGTCTTTTAATAGTTGCTGTATTTACAACAAAAATTGTTAGAAATTAGAACAAACTGGAATGTAGTTTTTCCAATTAATCTTGTACAAGATTGTAGGTAGAGTAAGATTTCTAAGTAACACTATTGAAGATACGAAATTATTCCAAATATGATTAATGTAGAATAATTGCTATAAATCTTCACTCTTCTTATGGCAATCAAAATGTTCATTAACATCTTCATGAAAAGTATCAGAAAAAAATTGAAAAATAAAGTTTTCTGAGATAATACAAGAATATTGAGAAATGGTGCTTTGTCACTGGCCTTTCTATGGCAGCTGTTTTATGAGCATGCCCATAAATATGTTCTCAAAATTGTAATAAGTGCCTGTTAACCAAATGGAATTGGGATCATATTTTAAAATCTGGTCATTATTATGAAACTCATACTTCCTTTTTCAAATGTTCCAGTTGCAAAGCAGTTTGGAGAAGAAGAAGAAGAAAGAGAAGAAGAAGAAGAGGAAACACAAGAAACATAGGCACCATAATTCCAGTAGTGGTGAAGATGAAGAGATTAAAACTAAGTATGTTTTATACATTTATTCATTCAGCCTACTTGGGTTTGACTACTGTTCATAATTGCAGAGAAAGGAGTAGAACTCAGTCCCTCACAAATACTTGCTGCTGTGTAAAGAGGCTTTTGATGTTTTAAAGGTGGTACATGTAGTCTCTTGTTAACAACCACTCATTCAGCAATAGTTCAAAATCATGAAGACACTGAACAAGTGGTACTTATAACCTGTTCTCAAAGTTCCAGCCATCTTAATCCCCACCCAGTCATGTGATCACAATCCATATGCTTGGCAACCAGTTTGCACTTAAAATACCAGTAGTTCCAGTATCCAATGGTCTTTTTTGCAAGTTTCCCATAAATAAAGTCAATAGAGAAACCAGTAGGAAAAGTTGGAAGTCACTCCCATAAGTTATTCCCAGCACTTTTTCTCCTGAGGAACCCAACTGTAGAATACAAAAATACTCTATAGTGTGCACCCATTTGCAGTCTGTCCCTGATCTTGCTCAGTAGCGCATGCCCACTCAGCTATGCTCATGCTGCAGCAGCCATTTGCTCCTTACATTCTGCAGCACCTACCGGCTTTGCTTACTCTGCAGCAGCCACTTACATGTCCACTTGCCTGCTTGTTAGCTGCTTAGAACTTGCAACTTCCTACAGGCTTTCACATGGACTTTATTTCTTAGAAGCTGGCAGGAAGTTGCAAGGAAGTCCTTTAATAACCCATGATCCTCACTTAACAATGGGAATGGAAACGCAGGATTGCTATTACTAAGTGATGGGTCACATGAGATTGTGCTTTATAATTGCATCACTTAGTTACAGAAATTCCAGTCCCTGTTATCATTAAGCGAGGACTACTTATACTGTGAATGGGCAGTGTATCTTGATAGAGACCATTGTATCATTCTGTATATCCCAGAGGAGCATAAACAATATATTTCTCTTCGTATTTGAGCTAGTGTCCGTATATGATGGGTTTCTATTCATATGGGCTGGAATTGGCATGTAAGCTACCTATACGTTTAAAGTAACAAGGGACCTAGACTTATTACCCTGATGAAGTGTTAGAATTTAATTTTCTTTTGCTTTAGGTCACGGGAGAAAGTAGAACATCTTCATCCTAAAAGATCAGGATATGGATTGCAAGTATGTACTGTATTCTGTAGCATTTACTATACAATATAAAATAGAGGTGCTATTTATTGGGGCCAGTTTGACTCAAGTCATGAAGTATGCGAACTCACCTATTGTCATAAAATTGCTAGTGTAGATTAACTGCCAATATCTTCACAGTCACAGTATGGGACGTCTGTGTGCAGTCAATTGAATATAGCAATATTTATTCTCTAATAAAGCAATATTTTTCGATGCGTAAACTCTTTTAAGAAAATGGCATTTTTCTCATAATGTTAGGTTCGTGATAGTGGCCATGAAAGGATGTCCCATAAACTCCAACAGAGTTTACGATCAGAGCAACAAAGCCATTCTCCTGAAAGGCATGTCAACAAGAACACAAATCAGGAATCAAGCAGGCATAAGAGATCAAGATCACCTAGAAACAGTGAACAGTAAGCAAAAATTGGGCAACCAATTCTCCTTTTCTAAGATAGACGTTACCTTAATTGCTGTGGAATTATTCAAATCTTAAATTAGAAGGTTTTTGCATACAGTAAAATGTAAGGACTGAGAATACTTGAAAGATCATTATTCTGGCATCTATTCATTGTAGTTTTTAATGTAAATATTTTCAGAATATATGGAATAATTATATTCATTATTTAAAATTAATAACAATTTAATATTTGAATCCCCCCCCCCCCCACCCACACACACAAATCATGATTTGGGATGTTGCTCCTCTTAGTCATTCAAAAGACAAGTGCAGTCACTCGGTTGAAAGTGCAAGTGCAGTCACTGATAGTATAAGATAAAAATTACTAAAGGATTATTAATAATGAATTATTATTTTCATGGAGAAAATAAAATTTTTGAATTGCAGGGACAATGGTATGGAACAAAAGGCAAAAACAGAATACAAAAATTTTCATAAGGAACACCAATATAGAAGACCCCACACTTCGAGGTATGTGAATGGGTATGGTATTGGTGTATTTTCAATGGATTGTGAGATAACTGTAGAATGTATTGCAGGCAGGATATTTTGAAAAACATGCATGCTTTAATGCTTGGCAATTAAATGAAATGGTTTATAAAAATAATGAGATTCAGCAATTTCCTCTTATTTAAAAAAATCATTATTATTTTTGCCCATTATTTAAAGAAACCAAATATCCAACTTTATAAGATCAATCTCCTCCAATTTGATGGGTGAATGATTTACATTACTAAGGATACTACTGAGCCTCAATCTCTGCATGTCTGTGGAGAGTCTCAGTCATTCAGGTCATGATTGTCCCAAAGGTGCTTTTTTTTCCCCTAAGAAAAAAGAAAGTCCAGTTTCCTTTGGGGGAGGGGAAGCACTTTTGGGGCTCAATTTCTGCACTTGCTTCCTGGTGATTTCCAAGCACTTTGGAAACCTTTAAATACTTTTGACGCGCTGTATGCAGTCAACAATTACATCAGATTTAAGGTATAAATTTGCTTAAGATACATATGTTGCAGAAATGTAAAGAATGTAGGACCCTTTCTAGCTTGAATTGAGCCAAAAACTTAAGTACTATTCTGGCACACTTGGTATGTTTTGACTATTAAGTAATCACTTAATCATAGCTCTAGAGAACCCTATTTTCTCCGCATACAATAGCCAAGAGAATGATTACTCCATAGGTTGATAATGATGATTATCATTTGAAAAGCCACTATCCTGTCTAAAATCTTATTAATCTATTTTAAACAGAAAATTATCTGCAGAAGAGCTGGAGAAAAGACGGAAAGAAATGATGGAGAATGCCATATGGCGAGAAGAAGAAAGAAAAAACAATGTGAACAAACATAGAAAAGAAGAAGAAAGAGAGCAAGCTCTAGAAAAACTTCGCCAGTCCAATGGGAAGTTTATACAGTGAGTGACCTCCTTCCTTCTAAAATTAGGGAAGAAGCCATAGCTCAATGGGAACAGCATACATTGAACACAGAAGGTCCTATTCAGTTTTCCTTAAAACAGTCAAATGACCATTACACTTGATATAAAGCAGCAACATCCTATATCTCAGTTTGATAGTCTTTTTGTGCTGCATGCTTGTTTCACCTACCAAAGTATTAACTATAAGGAGGAAATATTTTCCTTAACTTTTAAAACAGACACATTTGGAAGTTTCATACTTGTATTCAGTGTTTCTCAACCTCAGCAACTTTAATGTGGTCTTCAATTCCCAAAATTCCCTTGCAAGTATACTGGCTGGGAATCTGAGAATTGAAGTCCACAAATCTTAAAGTTGCTAAGGCTGAGAAACAGTGATCTAGTTTCTCTGACTACAGGTAATCTTCAAATTATGACTATAGTTGAACCTAAAATTTCCATTACTAAGTGAGATGTTGTGAAGTGAGTTTTGCTTCATTTTACGACCTTTCTTGCCATGGTTGTTAAGTGAATTGCTGCAGTTGTTCAGTTAGTAACACAGTTACTAAGTAAACCTGGCTTCCTGCTTGTCAGAAGCTCACCAAAGATCATATGACCTTAGGACACTGCAACTGTCATAGGTCAGTTGCCAAGCATCTGAATTTTGATCACATGACCATGGAGATGTTGCAATAATCATCAGAAAACTGGTCATAAATCACTTTTTTCAGTGCTGTTGTAACTTCAAACAGTGATTAAATGACCTGTTGTAAGTTGAGGACTACTTGTATATGCATGTAGATGGTGCTTCTGCTGGAACAGCCAGTAAAGTGGCAAACGCAGACTGCTGGATCAAGCCTTCAAAGCAGTTCTGTGAACTTTCCAAAAGATGGGGTTTCTTTAACAATTTGGGAAGGGATGTTTCACTTTCAATAGAATCCCTTTTAAATACTTTACAGAATTCCAATCATTTCCTCAGCCTTTTCCAGAGTGGGCTATTTGTGTATGAATTAGAGTCTAAATATATTAAAAATAGAACTATAATAATGCTCATAAACTACTTTAGGATAATATGATCTTACTAAGGATTAGGTAAAAATCTGGGTATAAGGGAGAAATTACAGAGGCATAGAATTATCTTGAATAGGAAGAAGAAAGTTTTTTTATGTATAAAGAGGGATGCAGAAAATTGTGCATGAGTTAATGACTACAGAAAAAAGTGAAAGGTATTTTCCTTTCTAGACTTGAGGGAGTTCATGTTTTATAATGTCCCCAGCCCAGATGTTATGCAGATGGGCATTTAAACAGTTTTTTTTAATATTCTGTTAATTTCCCCCTTTTTGTTTTCTGTTTTTTAGTGAGAAATGTTATGTGGGACAAAATGGACGCTTTTCTAATTCTTATGCTCTTCTTTATTTCTTTGACCTGCAGTAATATAAAATTGGAGAGTGCATCCACTTCGTCTCTTGAAGACAGGGTGAAGAGAAACATTCACTCTATCCAAAGGACACCAGCAGCCCTGGAAAAAAACTTCATGCATCGATGAAATTGTTTCGTATCCTATCACTGGCCCAGCAATGTTGTTGTTTTTGTTTTGTTTTGTTTTTCTGATTGTTTTTTTCCTGAGGACCAACTGATCATTCAGGAAACCTCCATGGGCCAGGTTATTTTTTCTTTGGTCTGGATAGCACAAGAGAGTTCACTGTGATATTCCATTACAATGTTTTCAAATTAAGATATTTTAAATATGTACAGTTTGAGATACTCCTTGTAGGCCAATTTGTTCTGCCTTTTTCTTTTATATTTTATAATATAGTGCTGTAAAAAGATTATAAGAGTTTTACTCCTATTCCCACTGAAAGGAAAGATGGAATCAGAACAAGTAATTCTGTTATTTTTAGTCATATTACAAAGAGAATAATTATTACAGATGTTTTCATTGTCTAATAATAATTCCTCTGCCTTTTATGTTCTTAAAATATAATATATTTGGGTCCAGGCTAACTGGGCTTACAGTTCTGTTTTTCAGAGTTTCTTTCCTCTCCAGAAGGGTTCACATCACTTTATTTGATGCAAGATATATTGCTTGCTGTAGAAAAAAGATCCCTTTCCTAAAAGGAGAAAATAATGTTTTTCATATTTTTTTTTACTGGAGACATGAACATTTTGTTGTCTAAAATAGCTTCTATGACAAGCAAAGTTTCTTAATAGGCAAAAGGGAACAGACAAAACTTTAGGACAGCAATCTTTCATATATTCTTTCGTGATATGTAAATATTCACCTTTGTATGTCTAGCTGGCGTTTAATATATGTATATATCTTTATGTATCTTTTTAGTATTTTTGTGGTATTTTTAAATATTTAGAAATATATGTAATTTTTTTGCATTCTGCATTTTACATTTACTGTACCTTGCAAGCTGCTCTGGTAGCTTGCAAGGTACAGTAAAAATATCTATATATTTAAAATTTTAAAAACTAGGAGATAAACATAAAGGTAAAGGTTCCTCTCGCACATATGTGCTAATCGTTCCCGACTCTAGGGGGCGGTGCTCATCTCTGTTTCAAAGCCGAAGAGCCAGCACTGTCCGAAGATGTCTCCATGGTCATGTGGCTGGCATGACTAAATGCCGAAGGCACATGGAAGGCTGTTACCTTCCCACCAAAGGTGGTCCCTATTTTTCTACTCGCATTTTTATGTGCTTTTGAACTGCTAGATTGGCAGAAGCTGGGACAAATAACGGGAGCTCACCCCATTATGCAGCACTAGGATTCGAACCGCCAAATTGCCTACCTTTCTGATTGACAAGCTCAGTGTCTTATCCACTGAGCCACTGCGAGTAGATAAACAAGGGCATTAAAAGGCCTAGGAAAGTATTATAAACCTGGGATCCCCAACCCCTAAGCCACTGTCCACTACCAACCCTTGAGCCGCTCAGAACTGGGCCGTGGAAATACATGCATGCACATCCCCAATTGCATGAGCAGCAGGTGAGTGTGTGTGTCTGTGCCTGGCACTCAAATGGAGCGCCAGCCACAAATGGAGATGTACGTGTGTGCACACTTGCCCACCACTCGCACCGAACCATCCCATCTTCCCCCCTCCCTCCTGTTGGTCTGCAAAATTGCAAAACTCTGTTTTAAACTGTAGTAAGGAAATGGCCAGTTTAAATTTAGATAGCAATTTATTGATAATATGAACATGCTCTGAAAAAAGTTGGATGGGTTGTTAATTAACAACAAATTGTTAACGACTTCTTTGGAAGGATTTGTAAAAGGTGCCCCTTTAACGACTAACAGTGCGATATTGAATGGAGTAAATGGGCCTAAAAGAAACATAGGCCTTCACCCTGTAAGTTTTAATACACAGTTGCAAGCAGCTTAATCTGGGCAACCAGCAAAATTGCTTTAGCATGAAACTAATGTAAGACCAAAGAAGATCCCATTCATAGAAACAATTCTAGATCAATTGTGGTTTGCAAACTTAAGTTTAAAGGCTGCAACACAAGGAATACTTTGCAGTAGTCCCTTTATGAGACTTACTAGTACATAATTCACCACAGCAAACTCATTCATATAGAGATGAACCTCCTGCATCAACCAAAGCTGATAAAAAGTTTGTGCCATTTATGTCTGCATTGGATTCAGGACAATTATATATAGCAAACCTATTTAACAAGAAAAAAACAACAGATATAGTCCCCAATTCTCGAAACATATCTTCCAACTTTGATTCATTGTTTTACACTCAGTCCCTTACAACCTAAGGATGTATGGAAACTGGTGACTCAAGAGTGCAGGAAAGGAGAAATGTAAGCGTTATTGGCATATGCCGCTAGCATACATGTAGCCTTTGTTTAACTACCGCGATGGAGGCAGCAAGTCCATCTCTAAGCAAGACATCACATGACTGCAGTAGATGTAGCATATCACTTCTGCTGCAGTTGTTTAGCAAGACATGATATACAACCATGTGAAAAAGTATATCCTCTTTGACTTCTATGCTTTTATATATCAGGACATAGTAAAATCATGTGGTCCTTAACAGTTCTTAAAAGTAAGTAAATATAACCTCAGATGAACAACACATGGCATACTATACCATGTCATCATTTATTGTGCAAATTGTATAACTTATGATTCAATAGCTTGTAGAACCACCTTTAGCAACAAGAACCTGAAGTAATCATTTTCTGCATCACTATCAGTCTCTTACATTGTTGTGGATAAATTTTGGCCCACTCTTCTTTAGATGACCTCAGTTCATTGAGGTTTGTGAGCATTCGTGAGCATTTGTGCACAGCTCTTTTTAGATCCCACCATAGCATTTCAATCAGGTTGAGATCTGGACTCTGACTGGGCCATTGTAACAACTTGCTTCTTTTCTTTTTCAGCCATTTTGTGATAATTTGCTAATGTACGTGGGATCGTTGTCCTGTTGAATGACCCAGTATTGGCCACGTTTTAGCTATCAGACAGATGGCCTCCCATTTGATTCTGGAATATATTGGTATACATTCATGGAAATTCATGGTTGACTCAAGGACTGCTAGGTGTCCAGATCTTGTGACTGCAAAACTAACCAAATCATTACCCCTCCATGCTTGACAGTATGAGATGTTTGTGCTGATATTACCATTTGGTTTTCACTAAACTTGGCACTGTGCAGCATGGCCAGAAATGTCTACTTTGGCCTCATCTGTCCAAAGGACAATGTTCCAGAGGTCTTGTGATTTGTTCAGATGCAAACCTAAGCCATACTGCCATGCTCTTTTTAGCTAGAAGAGCCTTTCTCTGGCAACCTTCCAAACAAACCATATTTGTTTAGTCTTTTTCTAATTGTACTGCATTATTTATTTATTTATTTATTTTGTCGCATTTCTATGCCACCCAACTCCCAAGGGACTCTGGGCGGCTTACAACAGAGAATAAAAAATTGCAACAATATCCCATGCAAAAGTTAAAAGAAGACATTAAAATATTAAAACGGTCTCGAAGATAGCCTGGTCCTGAGCCATGTAGGGCTTTAAAGGTAATAACCAACACCTTGAATTGCGCCTGGAGACCGATAGGGAGCCAGTGCAGCTCGCGGAGAATTGGTGTAATGTGGGTGTATCTAAGTGCACCCACTATAACTCGCGTGGCTGCATTCTGGACCAACTGTAGTCTCCGAACACTTTTCAAGGGTAGCCCCATGTAGAGCATGTTGCAATAGTCCAGCCATGAGGTGACAAGGGCATGAGTGACTGTGAGGAGAGCCTCCTGATCCAAGTAGGGTCGCAATTGGTGCACCAGATGAACCTGTGCAAAGGTCCCCCTAGCTACAGCTGTCAGATGTTGTTCCAATCTCAGCTGTGAGTCTAGAAGGACACCCAAATTGCGAGCCCATTCTGAGGGGGGCACTTTCTCTCCCCCCAGAACCAAGGATGGACAATCGAATAGTCTTTAGGGGGCAATACCCAGAGCCATTCGGTCTTGTCTGGGTTTAGTCTGAGCCTGTTGACTCCCATCCAGATCTTCACAGCCTCCAGGCACCGGCACATCACATCTACCGCCTCACTGAACTGACGAGGGGTGGAGATATACAGCTGGGTATCAGCATATTGCTGATATCCCACCCCGTGTCATCGGATGATTTCACCCAGTGGTTTCATGTAGATGTTAAATAGGGGAGAGAGGACCAAGCCCTGAGGCACCCCGCAGACGAGGGGCCTAGGGGACAATCTCTGTCCTCCTATCAGCACCTACTGTGATCAACCAGAGAGATAGGAGGTGAACCACCACAACATGGTGCCTCCAAACTCCCAGCTCTCTTAGTCCCCCCAGAAGGATACCATGTTCGATGGTATTGAAAGCCACTGAGAGGTCAAGTAGCACCAAGATAGAGGAATGACCCCTGTCTAGGGCTCACCAGAAATCATCCATCGGCATGACCAAGGCAGTTTCCGTGCTATAGCCAGGTCTGAAGCCGGACTGAAAAGGGTCCAGATAATCGGTTTCATCCAATGACCGCAGGAGCTGAAGTGCCACCACTTTCTCTACAACCTTTTCCACAAAGGGTAGGTTGGAGACTGGACAAAAGTTTTTTAATTCTGCTGGGTCCAGGGAAGGCTTCTTGAGGAGGAGCCTTACAACCTCTTCCTTTAATGGCTGCGGGAAGGACCCCTCCCTCAAGGATGCGTTAACTACAGCCTTGTCCACTTCCTCAGGAGTCACTGGCTCAAACTCCTCCCATACAATAGGACTAAGACCCGTCCCGTCATCTCGGTCGGTATTGCCCAATCAGAGTCCAGGTCCATCTGAATCAGAAAGATTTTATCCGACAGAAACTGCACAAATTCTACCCTACAAAGGCTCTTCCGTTCCCCCAACCTTAAGGAGGGAGCGAGTAACCCTAAATAGGGCAGCTGGGCGAGAATCCGCAGATGCGATAAGTGTGGAAAAATGTGAACATTTTGCCACCTGTATCACCACTAAGTAAGTCCTAACAAGGACTCTCAAAAGTATTCTGTCGGATTCGGATTTACTGGTCCTCCAGCGTCGCTCTAGACGTCTCTTCTGGCGCTTCATCTCCCGGAGCTCCTCAGTAAACCAGGGAGCTTTCCTGGATCCACTGCCATTGAGAGGCTGCAAAGGCGCAATCCGGTCCAATGCCCCGGATGCCGCCTTATGCCAGGCAGCAACTAGGGTTTCGGCCGGACTGTGGACAAGGGAGTCAGGTATCTCCCCAAGCTCCTTCTGAAACCCTTCAGGGTCCATTAGGTGTCTGTGGTGGAACCACTTAATCAGCTCTGCCTCCCTGCGATGGAGGAGTGGCATCTTAAAGTCCAACCTCAACAGGAAATGATCTGACCACGACAAGGGAGAGACCTCTATACCCCTTAATTCCAGATCATATCTCCACTGCTCCGAGAGCAGTGAACTTTAACATTTGACATGCTAATTGAGGCCTG